TAAAGTATCTGAGAAGAGAGAAGAGATACATCTAAAACCCTGGGAACAAGACTCTCCCAGCTTTCTTCTCTTAACTCCAGCAATGCAAGCCAGAAAGAGAATCAGCTTTCACATTTCAAGTCAACTGTAGAAAACACTAAAGTCAACTGAAATCCAGGACTAAATCAGAGTTTTTTTCTCATGTGAGGAAGAGATCAGCACATTCAGAGGCTAGAGCTTTGCCATCAAATTTGAGTAAAATCATTAAAGTTCCCACTAGATTAGTATGAGGAATGTCGGGTGTTTTGTCCAGACATTTACAAATGCCTGTTTTTGACCCACAGATATCAATCTTTCATAACCTACATAATGTTAAACTGGTTTTAGAAATAAGGAGATAACCTGTTCATTAACAGGAACACAGCACCTAACAAAGTATCCAGGATATGGTAGGTGGTTAATAATTATTAAATAAAAGTAATATATGACTTAGACCAAGCAACTGAGAACTTAAGAATCAGATGAGCATAATTCTATCACACAGTTTGGAAAACCATAGTCTAATTACAATGATTCTGTCCATTGCACAAGTGTTTTTGGAGCTTATTTGAGAGTATCTCTGGAAGGATGCATAATTTTCCCATTACTAGAAAAGCCCTAGGAACCACACAAATAGATGTAAAAAATTCCCCATTCGTCACTAGCAACGCAAAATGAAGTACATAAAAATCAGCTGAGTCCCACTGTCAAGGTCCCTGTGAGGAGTCGCTGAGGACAATATCACCAACTACGATGCTCTGAGGTCAAAAGGGTCATGACCTGAGCAGCAAATTGACCTTAGAAGCTAATCTATGAAAGCTTCACCCTGGGAAGGAAAGATGATAACCTTGGTAAATATGTGCCTAAAATATCACAGTTTTGAGAAAGACAAGGATATAAGGGGAAAAAAATCACTTTGAAACGCCTCGGTTGGTCCACTCATTAAAAAAGGATAACAGGGGTTGGCATTTGGCCTACTGGTTAAGATGCTCACCAAGTACCATAGATCCCAGCTCTGGCTCTTGATTCCAGCTTCCTGCTAATACAGACTCTGGGAGGCAAAAGTGAAGGCTCAAGTGGTTCAGTTCCTACCACCTGCTTGGGAGACCTGGCCGGCCGGCTTTTGCTCAATAAGGCAGCTCTTGTGGTCATTTGGGGAGTCAACTAGCAGTTGAGAGTTCTCTCTGTCTCTCAAATGAATGAATGTAAAAAGCAAAGCCATTCTGTTTTCTTCAAAAGGGATAATTTGGGGTGGGCATTTGATACAGCCTGCTAAGGACGCCTGCATCTCATATCAGGGTTCTTGGGTTCGAGGCTGGACTCCACTCTCAATCTGAGCTTCCTGCTAATGCATACCCCGATAGGCAGAAGGTGATGGCTCAACTAGCTGGGCTGCTGCCACCATCTACCTGGGAGACCTGGATGGAGTTCCAGGCTCTAACTATGGTCTGGTTCAGCCTCGGGGGGTGAACCAGTGGATGGAAGATATCTTTTTGTTTCTCTGCCTTTCAAATAAATAAAATTAAAAATAAAATTTTAAAAAAGATGAGAAAACATAACTGGACATATGAAATCGCTACCAGCAATAGCACCAACATTTATCAGAAGCTTAATGATCTTTAAAACTTATTTATTAGAAAGGCAGAGTTACAGAGAGAGATGGAGAGACAAGGGAGAGCGATCTTCCATCCACTAGTTTACTCTCCAAATGGCTAACATGGCCGGTGCTGGGCCAGGCCAAAGCCAGGAGCCTAGAATTCCACCCAGGACTCCCATGTGGGTGACAGGGCCCAAGTACTTGGTCCATATTCTGCTGCTTTCCTAGGTGCATTAGCACAGAAATGGATCGAACTGGAGCAGCAGGAAATTGAGCCAGCGCCCATATGGCTGGCATTGCAAGCGGCGGCTTCAAGCACTGCATCGTAACACTGGCCCCTTAATGATCTATTAACTACATGCCTTCCTATTCTCTCAACAAGAATGGAATCGAACTTGGCTGGCTCTCTAAGAATTCAGTTTTCACTGAAGTTGACTTCATGAGTTAGCTATTTAAAAATCCTCAAAGATAGCATCAGTTCATGAAGCAACGTGATTCCCCTACGGCCTACAACTGGACTGATGAGGCATACTAAATATATAGACTTTCGTTCTCTTTCTGTACCTGCTGATGGAAAGTCTTGAGGTGAGACTGAAGTAAAAGGAATTCGCTATGACAGCCAATTCTCATATGTTCCAATATTAAAAAGAATCTACATTCTACTTTGGTAATTATCAAAGGTATATTTTTAAAAAGGCAGGGAACATTTCATGATTAACAAATTAATCAAAAACAAATTAATGTAATTTCTAAACTCTGGAAAGGCTGTGATAAGAATAGTATACTCCTAAAGTAGTGTAAGTTGGGATAGTCCATGAGAAAAGTCATTTGGCAATATGAATCATGACCATATATCTACGTACTCTGATGTATACCACTGACAAGAGCTTATCCTAGGGGCCAGCACTGCACACATTCGAGTCCCAGCTGCTCCAGTTCTGATTCAACTCTCTGCTAATGCACCCAGGAAAACAGTGGAAGATGGCCCAAGTGCTTGGGCCCCTGCGCCTACACTGGAGAGCCAGAAAAAGCTGCCTCCTGGCTTTGGTCTAGCCCAGCCTTGGCCACTGTGGCCATCTGGGGAGTGAACCAGAGGATCAAAGTTATCTCTCTCTCTCTCCCTAACTCCGCCTTTCTAATATATAAAATAAATTTTAAAAATTATCCTACAAAAATATTTCAAATAAAGAAAAATCTTTTAGGCAGGAAAATATTTACCACAAAATTTCTAGTAAAGAGATACTACAAGGGCTGGTGCTCTGGAGTACTGGGCTAACATTCCACCTGTAGTGCTGACATCCCATATGGGCACTGGTTTGAGTGCCGGCTGCTCCACTTCTGATCCAGCTCTCTGCTCTGGCCCGGGAAAGCAGTGGAAGGTGGTACAAGTGCTTGGCCCCTGCACCCACTTGGGAGACCCATAAGAAGCTCCTGGCTTCAGACTGGCCCAGCTCCAGCCGTTGTGGCCATCTGGGGAGTGAATCCGTAGATGGAAGACCTTTCTCTGTCTCTCTCTGCCTGTAACTCTGCCTCTCTAATGAATAAATAAATATTTTTTTTTAAAGAGATACTGCAAACCAACCTAAAATGTTCACCAAAAGGTAGGATTACATTTGTGTTTTAAAGTGTCGGTACTGCCCTGGGAGACAGAAGATCATGGTTCAAGTACTTTGGTCCCTGTCACAAACATGGCGCTCCTAGCACTTAGCTTCAGACTGGACCTGCCCTGGGTATTGCAGGCATTTAGGGAGTGAGCCACTGAATAGAGGATTGCTCTCTGTGTATCTGCCTGCCTTTCAGATAAAATAAACAAATAAAAAAATTCTAAATGAATGCTGCATTAAAAAATGTTGGTATTGAAAAAGTAGCAACAAAGAAAAATCCTTGACAAAAGATAAACATGATACAAAGGCATATTTTTATTATGACTGTGCCCATTAAAAATACATAGAGAATTAAAAAATATAAACACAAAAAAGGGAAAAATATATATGGATATGCAAAAGAATAAAGGTATACACAATGGCAGTAGCTGTTTGCAGTTCCTTTTTGCCACGTTTTGTGAAATGACAGGTATTACCTTAAAGAGCCATTAGAATAGTAAATTATTTTCCTAAAAATAGCCTGTGTATCAACCCTTTTCAGTGAAAAGATCTTAAGTCACAACTTGCTTAAAGGAAGAGGACACTGCGGTGTAGCAGGTTAAACTGCCACTTGGTACGACAGCATCCATATCAAGTACTGGGATCAAGTCTCATCTCTGATTCAGATCCAGCTACCTGCTAATGTGCACCCTAGAAGGCAGTCAATGATGGTTCAAGTAGTTAGGGTCTTGCCACCCATGTGGGAGACACAGATCAGTTCCTGGCTTCTGGTTTTGGCCTGGCCCAGCCCTGGCTGGTTCAGGTATTTGGAGGGTGAGTTGGGGAATGAAAAATATCTCTTTCTACTTCTCTGTCTCTCTCCACCTCCATTCTTCTCTCCTTATCTCCCTCCATCTCTGTCACTCTGCCTTTCAAATAAAAATAAATCATAAAGAAGAACTTGGGTAAAGAACACTGCCATTTTAAAAAAACAAAGAACAGTTTCCGAAGTCTCACGTTTTCAGAAAAAAATCTAACAAATCCTTGGGCTAGATAAATCTGGAAAGGGAGGTAGGTACATTACACTCCATTACCAGCAAGGTAGACTGCATGTTGTCATATCACAAACTGTGAAAAGATCTGCAAAAGATTCAGCTATTGCTGGGCGTACTGGAACATAAAACTGGAACATAAAACCTTCCGTGCTCAGAAGACCTAGGAACATTCTTCTCACCAGTTTGGGAAATGCTGCTTGGGTTGATGAAGGCATTTCAATTACCAGAGAGGTGTGTCCCAACTCTCCACTTCCCAGCTGGGAGTCGCTAATGGTAAGTGGGCCTTCTCACTCAGGTGCGGGTACTAAGGTAAAGGCAAAGTGTGAGAACTACTTACATGTGTGGCTACTTACAAACAACTCAATCTCTCCAAGGGAATAAGAACACGGAATAAACCCTTTAGGGCACAGGGAGGCTTTCGGGCTCTTACAAAGGGGTTCTGATCAAATCTGAAGACAGGAACAGCTTCTACACAAGAACAGACTCTCTTTTTCTGTAATTATGAAGTACCAATCCAAGAAATCGGAGTAACCCAAATTGAGAACTAGTCAGTTTCCCTTTTAGCTATAAATCATGCCCCACAGAAAACACAAATATTTATCATTTTGAAGTCTGCATGTTTTAAAGAAAATATGTATGTGTGATAGCAGGGTGTCTTCACAGTGTGTCTACCTCCAGGCTCTGAGACGCACAAACAGGTTCTCCCCCACCCCTGCCGAAAGGCTCCTTAGCCTATGAAACCGTTACCTCTGCTCTAAGTGTAGCTTTCGTGCAAGCTGGGCAAAGAGGTCCATTTCGGGAGAACTGGAGGGGAAGGTGCCGAGTTCGATTGCGACACATTGGCTCTTCACATACCAACCAGCCCTGAAGAAAAAAAAACAAAACAGGAACATCCTCCTTCAGTTACATACAGCCAAACTTCCCAGTACAAACTTCTATCACCCACAGAATGTAATCCAATGAGCTTCAGTTGATTAGTAAAGACCATTTTGAAAGCGAAGAGTTTACCACGCTCTTCACACAACGAATGACCAGCCCAACAGCTGAGTCACTGCAGGCTATTTACATAACTGCTATGCTGAGTTCTTCCGTAAAACAGGTTACACCAACAGTGCTTAGCCTATAAGGTGGTTGTAACAAAGTTATTATCTTCAAAGTGCTCAGAAATATACTTGGTATAAAACACTTAATAACTTTTTAAAAAGATACTTTTTTTTTTAACAGGCAGAGTGGACAGTGAGAGAGAGAGACAGAGAGAAAGGTCTTCCTTTTCCATTGGTTCACCCTCCAATGGCCACCGTGGCCGGTGCACCGCGCTGATCCGAAGGCAGGAGCCAGGTACTTCTCCTGGTCTCCCATGGGGTGCAGGGCCCAAGCACCTGGGCCATCCTCCACTGCACTCCCTGGCCACAGCAGAGAGCTGGCCTGGAAGAGGGGCAACCGGGACAGAATCCGGCACCCCGAGCGGGACTAGAACCCGGTGTGCCGGCACCGCAGCCGGAGGATTAGCCTATTGAGCTGCGGTGCTGGTCAAAAAGATACTTCTATACATGGTTTTTGGAGGCATAAAACTGGTTACAATGTTTCAATGACAAGTTCAACTAACAGCTACTTTCCTGAGACTGGAAATAGCCACTGCCCACTTCCCTGTCCTTGAGAACTCTCTTTTCAGGTTCTGTTCTCCCGAGTAACCTCCTTTGCTGCTCTTGTTTGACTTTTCACACACTGCTGTGTTAATGATACGACCTTACCTTAAGTCAGCATTATCTTTGTTCTAAAACATATCTGTTAAACAAGGAAGGCAAGACTTCACAGATGGGATCGAGCAAAGATTTGATGTTCCTATTGAGGCACCAGAGTCTGTGAGCTTTGGTGTTGTATGTATTACTAGAGTGGCATAACCACATAAGACAAATGCAGGGTGAGGTGCTGGAGCATAAAAGGGAACCAACGTGCTTCCTTGTTTAGTGGTGTTCCAACCAAGGGAGCTGCAAGTAGGGAACTCATTATCTGTAGGTCTTGGAGTATTTGGAGAGTGTTTCTGAACTGGTCTTAGAGAATCAATGAGGTCTAGTAGGTGGAAAAGGGAGGAACGATGACTCAGGCACAAAGAACCATATATGCCAAAGAGTGAAGGCCAGAAAGAGCTATGCTGTGATGTGATTCTGTAAGGGCTCAATGACATGTGTAACCCCCTTCCCTATTTCTAGATGGAGCAACGGCAGTATTTATATGAATGCTGTTTAATTATATTTGGTATTTCGGTCTGCCACTTACTAATGTGTCCATGCGGTGCTAATCCCAAACCGAGAGAGGCCCTCATGCACTGCTGGGCTGCTTTACCTCATTCCTCAGAATAGGCCCTTCTTGGAAGCAGCCACAACCCAGTTCAAGGGGAAGCATGGAGAATCAGTTCTGGCTCCTTTTAAGACTTCAACACAAAAGGATGGTAAACTAGAGAACTTTCTGACCAAAACCACACTCCCATTAAAGAACAAAGATTCATCTAGTCAACCCATTCACAGTAAGCTTCATTCCTACCTTAATTCAATAGGCTAAACTAATTCAAAATTTAATTTGAATTTTTCAGCTAGAGGGTCTCAACAAGTCCCCATGAAACATAATATATGCCTGTAATTATATGAAATATTGTGAGGAATAGACAATGCGGCCCCAGACAACATTTCAGGAAAGTACAATGTAAATAGGAAAGCAAGGTCCACATACTCAAAGACTAAACATAATTCAGTATTTGGCTTTAAGAAGCAACTTGTGTGGAACTAACTACAAATGCTCAACAATACAAAGAGGACATGGAGTTATGTCTGAGACAAACCACTACTAACACAGCAAAAACCAGAATAAAAGGATCAATGGTTCGTTCTAACTAACATGCAACTCTGTGTTCTAATTTCTAGGGCCTATTGCCACATTTTCCTGATTGAATATATTTATACTCACATTTTAATATTTTGGGGACTTAGATATATTTACAATTGACAGGTATAGTTTAATGAGGTATTTGTTTCCTTCAAAAAAGCTGTTAAGACAAGAGCATGACCCACAATCAGTTCCCTAGGATTAATGAAACAAGATACTTTGGCTTAAGTCTGTTCTAGGCATGTGTGATACAGCGGAGCTGACAGCATCAATAGATATTAAAATTTAAATGTAGCCTATAAACACTAAAGGTGAGCCTAATTATTTCTGTAAGTACCAACAGACACATTAACAAAGGAAAAGAGGAAATTTATAAAAACTGTATATGAAAAATGCAGGGGTCTGGCGCTGCGGCGCAGTAGGTTAATCTTCTGCCTGCAGCACCGGCATCCCTTATATGCGCTGATTCTAGTCCCAGCTGCTCCTCTTCCGATCCAGCTATCTGCTGTGGCCTGGGAAAGCAGGGGAAGATGGCCCAGGTCCTTGGGCCCCTGTACCTGCAGGGGAGACCCAGAAGAAGTTCTTGGCTTCAGATTGGCTCAGCTCCAGCTGCTGGGGCCATCTGGGGAGTGAACCATCAGATGGAAGACCTTTCTCTCTATTTTTCCCTCTCACTGTAATTCTACCTCTCAAAAAAATTAAAAAAAAAAATGCAGGACTGAACCTACCCATTATTGTCCATTTGGGTTTATTATAGTTTGATATTTGAGGCTTTCTGTGATTTGGAATATGTAGCTAGTTAACATTGCCAACCACGATTATAATTCATTCAATTCCAAATAAAACAAAACATAAGCAAGCAGACAGGTAACAACTATCATGTTTTGAGACAAGAAATTAGTAAGTACCAGAATACAACATAGAAGTTAAAGTTATTTTAATATAAAATGTTTAAACAGCTAAAGTTCTTTTCAGATGTTTTCAAAACTTGATTCCATCAATTTACTACAACTTCATGACTCACTGGGTGAGCTGCCAACCAGGGAGATGCAAAATTGTCATCTCACCTGTTTTGAAAGCAAACACCTAACTATATCTCTGACAGAGCTACTAACTAAATGTCCTTTCAAATCATATAGAACACAGATAATATAATTTGTCTAGACTTTCTCCCAGTTATAATTAACATTAAAGAGGTCTTTTTTTCTTTGTCACCTCTCTATTCAGTGCTTATTTGGGTTTGTTTGTACTTACTATCTGTTAATCTCCCTTTACAAATGACAACAATAACTAGTGCTATTATGCATGGAAATTAAACATGCTGATAACTCTGTGAAGGGAACTGGGGCTGAAAAAATATTAGAAGCCTGTAACTCTTTATGCCTTTTGTTTTATTTTGATAATTAAGCTTTCGGTCATGGTGTATTTTAAACAAAACTCTTCCATGGGGGAAATAGGCCTTAATCATATTCAAAATATACTTTTCTTCAAGTCAATTTTTTCAAGGACATTTGGCTAACCCTTTGTGCCTTCAACAAATTTTAAAAGATTATGCTGGGGCCAGCACAGTGGCTCACTTGGTTAATCCTCTGCCTGCAGCGCCAGCATCCCATATGGGTGCCAGTTCTAGTCCCAGTTGCTCCTCTTCCAGTCCAGCTCTCTGCTGTGGTCCGGGAGGGCAGTGGAAGATGGCCCTTCCTGGAAGAACCACCTGGCTCCTGGCTTTGGTTGGGTGCAGCACTGGCCGTAGTGGCCATTTGGGGCGAGAACCAATGGAAGGAAGACCTTTATCTCTGTCTCTCTATCTATAACTCTACCTATCAAATAAAAAATGTATAAAAATAAAAGATTTTTTATCAAAAGAGATTATGCTAAATCTAACTTTCAAGGGACATTTGTGTTATTACAAGTGAATATGCTAGGTCTTTGAAAATATTCTGTAATGGGGGAAACTCTCGCATTACAAGATCTCACAGTGAATACTGCCTCTCTAGGGGGATGAAAACAAAATAAATAAAAATACCAATAATGTATATATTTACTTTGAATTACCCCTCACAAAAACTAAATTAACTTTCATTCTCCAAGCCTCTAGGAAGATGTCTGCTGTCCAAATCTGTCATTTTATTATGGAATGCCACATGCAAATTGTCATAACCAATAGGAATAAGGTCATTAAAATTTTAGTTTCCTACCTGAACCACATTTATGAGTAGAAAGTTCAAAAGAAGTGAAGTCAATCAGTCCAATAGCAAAACAAAACAAACCCTTACCAGAACATGCAAAGCTCTGTCACTTGTTGCTTTACTCTCAGCATCACTAATTCCTTAAAATCATTGTGTACGAAATTGTGTCAAATGCTGATTGGTTCTGATTGCTAAATTATATTTCTGAGGCCTCAACTAAAATGGTTTCTGTCTGCACATGCTAAAAAGCGATCGATTTCTACTTGTAACTGAGGCGTTCCTGTTACTTGCACCTTAAATAAACTCTCATTCATTTGTGTACATTTGTATTTTCTAGAAGGATGCACACAATATAGCATCCAGATCTAGAAATATGGTTTATAGAAGACTCTCAAAAATACCTTCTGAATAAATGAATAGAAGCAATAAAAAATGCAGAAGAGAAAATTAATGAAAAACAGTAAGAAGGATCTCAAATTCATAGGAGAAAAAAAAAAATACACGATACTTCTCATGCTCTGGAGTCAAATACAGGGTGGGATCTTTTTTCCCATTCCCAGTCATTCACCAACTGTGCCCACTAGACTGTCCTTTGTAATCCTATTATCCCCAACTTCACCCAAGCCAAGATACCAAAGCTGTTCTACTGCAGCAGCTTCTTACCTGGTTTCCCTGACGCTGTCCTCTCCCACAGACAGAGCAAAGGGGGTCAAGTGCAGTTTCCCAGGGCCCTCTACTCAAATCCCCTAATCATACATCCTACCGACAATTCAGAACAAGCTCATTGGTCTGACTTTG